CGTGAGCAAGAGATCGTAAACATCTGTGGTCAAAAACAGACAATCTCTTCATGTCTTCCGCTCTCAATGGCCACGTCTCACCGCCATAGAGAAGGACGGAGCGAACTGCTGAGCAGTATACACGTCCCTTGGTTGACAGCCGGATGTCACGCCTACGCCAGAGATGGTGTAAGTTAGCGAAAGCAGCCCGAGCTTTCTGGATCCGTGCTGAGATTTCGTCACCAATCAATCCGTTGGTGCTGATACAACTTCCCAAATAGGTAAAATGATCAACATGTTCTATCACTTCACTCCCTATCACCAAGCTAGGAGTTGACGTAGTCCAGTCCTGTAGCAGCATCTTACATTTAACAGGGGCGAATCGCATGCCAAACATAGGAAGATTGCTGCTCAAGGTGTTCAGAAGACTCTGCATTTTGTCAGCATCCTCCCCTAACAGGACTATGTCATCTGCATATTCTAAGTCCGTAAGACTATTCCCTGGTAACAAGTCGATTCCTAAGTCATTAAGTTCAGTTAAGGATACTTCCATTAGCATATCTATGATGAAGTTAAACAGAAAAGGGGAAAGTGGACATCCTTGACGGACACCACTAGTTGTTATCAATTCAGATGACAATTCCCCATAAGCCCTTACACAGCTACGTGAGTTTGAGTAGAGTGCCTTGATTAGTGCAATGTACTTTCTTGGCACTCCCTTCATAGTCAAACATCGCCATAGAACCTCTCGATCTACGGAGTCGAAGGCCGCCTTCAAGTCAAGAAATGTGGCAATTGTTGGACGCCTAAAAGTGTGTCTTTGTTCTAGGATCTGTCGGAGAGTGAAGATATGATCTATGCACCCTCTACCTGGCCTAAAGCCCGCTTGATTTTCCCTCGTTTGTTCCTCCCGAGTTCGGCTTAGTCTGTTCATGATTACTGAGCCTAGGATTTTAGAGACTATGTTCGTTAAGCTGATCCCCCTATGATTATCACATGAGGACTTATCTCCCTTCTTGAATACCGGTATAATAAGTGACTTACCCCAGTCTGATGGAACCGTCTCTGATTCCCAGATGTTACCTAGTACCTTAGTTAAACTATATACTAGTATGTCACCCCCATATTTGAATACCTCCGGAATAATTCCGTCGGGTCCTGCCGCTTTGCCTCGTTTCAAATTACAGATTGCTTTGTTGACCTCACTTACAGACGGCGGGCCTGTGTCTATGTCCCATTCGGGAGTGTGCTGGATGGCGGGGAGGCTCAGTGTGGCTGTAGGCAAGTTGAACTGTTCCTCGAAGTGTTCTTTCCAGCGTTCGAGGCGTCTATCCTGAGAACTAATTAAGGAGCCATTTTTCTCACAAATAGTCTCACTTATGATTTGCCTTCTCCCACCCGTTTCCCTGATGAGTCTAAAGAGTTGCCTAGTGTTGCCTATCGCCGATGCTTTTTCCATCTCTTTCGCCTTTGTCAACCACCACTGTTCACGGTCCTTGCGGAGACTTTTCGTAAGTTTCTTTTTGTGCAGCTTTCGCTCCTCATTGAATTCGGAGCTCGCCGGAATAAGTCTTCTAGCATCTATCAGTTCGGATGAGGCAGTCGAAATCCAATGGTTTTTACTCACCCTTGGATTTACCTTATTCACAGCTTTTACAGCTGTATCTATGGCTGATTGAATATTCTTCCAGGCTTCTTCAGGGTGAGCGCAGCTGTCGAACTCAGATATGTGTTTAGCTAGTCCTTCCTCAAATAGGGACTTAGTTTCCAGATCGAGTTGGGGACGTGATGGGTTTACCGCCAGCTGTTTCCTACGTCCGTTCAGTCGTAAGCACACACGAGCGCGGACCAGTGCGTGAGCGGTATCTACACACGTGTTCCAGAAGGAACGACAATCTCCTACCGACCCACGCCAACGATGGCTTATTGCTATGTGGTCTATTTGTGTCCAGCGTTGGTTTGATGATGGAGGTCGCCAGGTCAAACAGTGTCTCTCCTTGTGTTTGAAGTTAGTGCTTACAAGAAACAAGTGATTATCTGAACAGAACTGTAGGAGACGGTCACCGTTGTCGGTTCGCTGGCACGGGATTCCGTATGTGCCACCGACATTCTTCTCAGATTGACACAATTTCCCCACTTGAGCATTAAAGTCACCAGCTAAAACGACTATATCTGAGCGTTTAGCCTTTCGCAGCAAACTAGACAGCTTTTGGTAGAACTCATCCTTCGTTTCATCCGAACTGCAGTCAGTGGGGGCGTAGGCGGAGATTACGAAAAGGCATCGGCGAGTAGTGCAGTCCTTTCTCCTTTTCACTGATCCGTTCAGACGGACAGCACACATTCGGCTATCTACCGGGATCCAGTCAAGTAGTGTCTTTTCTGCCCTAGTACTCAGAGCTATCCCAACACCAGCTAATCCTTGTGAGCTAGCCGTCTCATCTCCTGACACCCTCAAGGTGAATTTTGCATATTCATCCTGTTGGCCAGGTGGGGTTAGGTGAATAACCACACTTGGGTCTTGTATGCGTGTTTCTAAAACACAACATACATCAATGGCTCGGGATGCCAGAGTCTTGGCTAGTGATGCCTGTTGTCCTATTTGGCAAAGTGTCCTAACATTAAATGCCCCTATATGAAATTGGTGACGTGGCTTTAGGAGACTATCGATGGTGGCTTTTTGGCTTCCGTCGTTTTCAGTGCACACAGAGTGAAGAGGAAGTGAAGAGCCATTAAGTAGAGGAGTTGCATTAGTAGAAGGAAGGCAAGATAATAGAGATGAAGATGAAGACAAAGGTGAGTGAGGAATAGAAAGGTTTCGTGTGCTCTTCGGGTTGTGAGGGCGATTGTTGCTTCCCGGCTGCCCACACCATGGAAGTTGGTTGCGTGACCGCAGAGCCCAGGGGACAACTGCTTGAGGCCGGTCACACACGGCCTGTTTTTGTTTGTTGTTTTTTATTTGGTGTGTCTCAGTAGCGTATTTATCACTTCTGCCCTGTGACACGGCAGCAGAAAGCGCGGTCGTTGTTAATCCGGGCCCCGACCGATCCGGCATGATATTTTGTGTTTTGTTTGAAGTCATTGGATTGGGTTGGGTAACTGCTTTTAGTCTAACCGCTATCCGAACAACCTTCCTGGCATGGTAGGACCTGCAGGAACATATGTTCCAGCCAGTATAGCTTGTTGGGTCATTGCGGTGTTCAAGCCCGACCACCACGTCAAGGTAGCAGCTTTCGGTCGAGGTTAGGTAGGGTAGTGAGAGATTAGTCACACTGTCTTTCTGTATGCATTAGTTGGGTCGAAGTCTTTTGATGGTGGCAATGGCTTCTGTGAACCGAAGTAACCATGCTTTCCTTTTCTTTGTGTTTTGATTATTTTGAAAGCCTGACTAATTTCCAATGTATGTCTAGTGTTAATTAGATGTGTCTGGCAATCGCACTTGCGAACATTTTGCTACCTTTCAAACGGAGACTTCTAGGGATATACTCGGAGAATCTAGTAGACGCTGTCCTCTCAGTACTTCCTATGTATTTGCTGCCGCAAATGCAGGTGAATTGGTAAATGCAATTGGAGTTGACATGCGGAGCAGGATACTTATCTACTTTTGATTGGGTTAACGAGCATACTGTGTTGGAAAGTGGAATGAGTTTTGGCGGCGGGAAATGTTCTTTTCAATGCACCTTTTTCATATGCTAAAGTGTTAATTATATTAATAATGCAATGGCTGACTTTGCTCTGATGTGTGATACTTATAAAGATATATATATATGCATGAGTAGCTTATAGTTTGGCGTCATCAGTAAAAGTAGGGAAAGTTTAAATATAGCCAGAAAAGCTGTCAATGAAGAAACGAGGCACGAAGTGCTGTAATACTGAATAAAAGAAAAGAAGCTATAGGATACATAGGACTATATAATCATATTATAAAAAGTCTGGTATTATTTTTTTATTCCTTTACGTTCCCAGTGGAACAAAGGGCTTTAAGCTAGAGGCTTGAAGTTTCGGTAGCAGTGGTGTTTACTTTTACGGGATGGGGTTGGTAGCCTCGTGCCCAACCTTCCATCTCAACCAATCTTATTACTGGCTTAACGGGATAAAGGAGTGCGTTGGTGGCCGGGGATCGAACCCCGGACCACACACGTAGTTGGCGAGCATCCTACCTCTGTGTCACCGACGCACTTGATATTATTTACAAATGATGAACTGAATGCGGGGTTTATTATCTAATTAATGAACACTTTTCTGTCAATCCAAACAGTTGTCCAGGCTGAATTAGGTGAAACAAAGGATTCGAACCCGATTCCATTGGATAGAAAGTCGAGTAGTGAAATCAATGCGCCACATTACTACAGTACAAATCTGTTTAATCATCTGAGTTGTGGTTATGTAATCTTGTAACTCACACGGATCAGAAACCTGGCGGGTCACAAAGAATATTTCCAACAGCCTGTTGCAGACCTTTATCAACAACTGTCTTCGCTGGCTCTATACTGAAGATCAGATGGCCGGAAAGAATCACAAACAAGAAACTATGGAAACAAACAAAACAAGAACCAATCCCTCAACAAATATGCAGGAGAAAGTGGAGATGGATCGGACACTCTCTGAGGAGGCCGTTGGGTGACATTGCGCGTCAAGCCATAGCTCGAGTGGAACCCGAAAGGAAAGCGGCGAGTGGTTCGTCGGTGCAAGGGTGACATGGATGAGATCGTGTGAAGAATAGTTGAAACAGTATGGACTAACATGGATGCAGGTGAAAAGTACAGCAGAAGACAGAAGCAAGTGGAGACGTGCAGTTGAAGCCCTATGTTCCACTAGGAACCCAAGGGAACAATAATAATAATAATATAATATCATCAACTGGATGTACCTGCATTCCCCAGTGACTGATAGTGTTCCCACTGAGACTCGAACCCAGTACCCGTTGTTTATTATCCTCAACATTTTGACTTCATCACATATTAAAAGCAATTTTCTTTCTAAATTCTTTTTTTTATGGTATGCAGAACAGTTGAACCTAGTACAATTTATTTCACTGGGAATGTTAGCGATGGTATCAGTTCAATGACAGCAGAGAATCAAATTGGAGATGTTAGAATTGTCGGGAAATTTACTGTACGTTTTTTTGCTTTTAATAGTTATTCAGTTTGATTTTGTAAAATTTATCGGAAAAGGTCATTTTTTTAAAAAAAAAAGACACTGCTACTAGTATGATGATGATGAGAATTGTCATGTGTTGAATTAAGTGTTTCATCTAACCGAAAGGTAATCAGTGTTGTAAATATACATATTGATTAAAATCAATGTTTGCAGTGGAATGACGCAATAATGTTGCATACTGTGATGCACTGTAACTTCAGTTGACATTTTAGAAAGATTCACTCTGCAGGAAGTCCAAGTTGATTACTTCTCTTGAGAGAGAGAAAAAAGGGCACTCAAAAAGTATCTTAAACTGTCAACACAGATGATGTTGGAATTACAATAAGAGCTGACGGAACTTTAAGAAGATCCATCCATAGGAAACCCACGTGGAACGGCCAACTGACAAGCTTCTACAGCTGGATACCAATCAGTCGAAAAAGAAACCTAATTAGATCCATTGCTACTCGCGTCCACGCATTGCAGCTCTGATACCCTGGAAGAAGAACTACACTTCCTGAAAGAAATCTTCATGCAAAACGGATATCCACCAAGATTCATTGACAGAAACATCAGACAGAAAATCCAAAAGCAAGAGGCGCCATCCGTGCCAAAAAAGATACTTTATATGAACCTCGACTTCAAAGGTGATATCCTTAAGAGGAGAATTTCCACTTCTTTAAGAAGAACTTTTTTTCGCGGCAATACTGAGAATAGTATTCTCCAGTCGCCCGCTGATCTGCAGAAGCCCAAAGGACAAAATTTCTCATCTGCCCACTTCTATCTGCATATATCAGTTCACGTGTTGCTGTGAAGCCAGGTACATCGGTCGTTCGACGCGCATCCTGTCAAAAAGGGTCAGCTTGGCTGCAGAAAGGAAGTAGTGGCCGTATAAGGAGTGCAATAATCAAACATCTCGTCACCACTGGTCATTCCATCTCAACAAACGCCTCTTACAAAGTAATCTACAAAGTGGAGAATAACCTGCCAAAGACAATAAGTTTCCGTCTTCTTTCTGAATTGATTTCAGAATAGCTTTGATAATTGACTCTTCATAGCACAAATTACTACCATAAAGTTAGCAAATAAAAGGTTATTTTTAAAGGCATATTGAGCTTATGTAGTTTTGAATTTTTTTTTATTCTTTCACGTTTCCCAACGAATGAAAAACAAAATGATATTTTTTTGCTGATGTTTCACTATTTAATGCTGCTAATAGCTTTATCAAATTATTGCCAAACCAGAATTTACAAAATCTCAGCTTATAATTAACAAATTTAATCATTGTTCCTCAGCATGGGGTAATCTCTTGTGTTTTCAAGTGAGCTACTTGGTGAAGATAACAAAAACCATGAGAAGATTGCTAGACTGGATAAGTGTATAAAATTATAAAAGCAGCATGTATTTACATAGTGAAATTGCTTATCGCATTCATGTTGATTTTGTCATTTCATGGCGGACAGGGGTGTTGCAACCAAGTCAAATTCTGTTTTAGTTCATCATTCCTATTCAGACAATTTGGATTCCATTTGATATGAAATGCTTGTGATGATGTAAGACGTTCTTTGTGATTTCTGAAATTTTTCTGGATGATGATTTCAATATTGTCAAAATCAATTTTGTGGCCTGATTCTATAGCGCAGCGATGATTTTTCAAACTTTTCTAGCACAACCGGATTTCTCGGTGGTTGAACAGATGCTCTACGGTGTTCATTTCTTCTGATTTTGATTTCTCTCTGGCGATGTTTGTTCAATGTATATCGCATCACATTCCAAGCATTTTATTTTATAGACACAATTAGATAGAGAATCCTTAGGGATTTGGTCTTTTATATGGACAAGGTTGCTTTGCAATGTGTCTGATGTTTTGAAGAAAACTCTGATGTTGTTCTTATTGAGTACTCTTCTGATATCATCCAACGTCTCTGGTCTATATGGAAAGACAACGGTTGAGGTCCATGTTTTCAGAATACGTTTTTGACCATATTTAATGTCGGTGTTGATTCTGTTATTGAAGTTCTTTGTATAGTTATTATTCTAAAGAACTTCAGCAATATTTGATACTTTTTCTTCTTTGTCCTTCTCATCCGTCAACATCAGAGTATGCTCGTTTAAGACACCAATGGCTGGAGATAATCGGTGATATGGCTCAAAATCATTCTCAGTGTCGCAGATGCATCCACTCCTTGTGCCTTATAATAGCCAATAAAACTATAATGCTCTTCGTTATTACTTTTCCTTTTGTCTCATATCCCTGTTTACTATCTCTATTTTGCATGGAGTATGACGACTTGAACTGCTGCACATCTGTGCAAAGTTCTATGTTGAAAACAGACAAACAGACAGAGTTCTATGAATTATGAAATAGTCTTTTTTAAGCAGCTAAGGGGAAGGAATAAGGGTGAACAATAAAGAAGAACAGGTAAGATGCACGAGTTGAAAAACCGTAAGATATATATATATATATAACATCTGTAATATAGTGTTTATGTAATTATAATTCATCTATTATTGTTTTATTTTATTTTTCATGCTTTAAAGGTAAGAAATCTACGTAAGCATAGCTTGATACCAGCCTCCCGTTTAATTATTGATTGGCCTTTTGAATTCTCTGGATTTATCAATGAACCACATGGGAAATATTTACTATATCTTCTTGAAAATCCCTATGTTATACAACATACACTTTCAATTCCAGGTGAATCAATAGAGAATTCAACTAGTGTTGTTTGTGATTCTAGAGCATTAGAAAAAGTTGTCAATCCACATAAATTCAGAGTGAGTTCCTGTTTTGTTGTTGTTGTTGCTGTTTTTTGCTCTTATCTTCTCAGTGAACTTCGTGTCATGAAGTGAAAATCACTAAAAACCATAGCATATAGTGGACAGCTGATTTGTTCTCACAGCTGCTACGCTATCTAGCATTATGTTCAGAAACTATGTTTACATGAACCGTATGCAAAGTGTCAGTAACAAGACAAGGTTTAACTGATCAATTGTGAGAATCTACTTTGATGATTACGTTACCTATGGTTTACTGAAACTCACCGATTAAAAGTAGAACACTACTTGTATGTTCTCTCTTTATTTTGTAATTTGGTTACTCAGTTATAACTTGAAACTGAATTGAACTAAAGGTTATTCAGTTACCCATCATCAGATGGTTTGTAGATCACGAACTTATTTCCTTGGGTTCCTATTAGTGCATACAGTTTCAACAACACGTCTCTACATTGTCCAATCTTCTGCTGTCCTCTTCATTTGGCCTCACAATAGCCCATAATCTTTCATCTCCTCCATGTCACCCTCGCACTGACAACCCACTCATCGTTTCCCATTTGGGTTCCACTCGAGTGATGGCCTGTATTGCGCGCGATGTCATTCGACGGCCTCCTCAATGTATGCCCAATCCATCTCGACTTTCTCCTACATATTTTTTGAGCAATCGGTTCTTAGTTGGTTTATTATCAGCCAGACTTTCTTGTTGCTGATTCTTTCTGACCAGTCGTTTCATCTTTAGTATGGAGCAAGCGAGGGAGGCAGCTGTTGATAAAAGTCTGTAACTTGTTGGAAATCCTTCTCGTGACACTCAGTAGAAGTTTTTGACCTATAGAGGAGAACTGACATGACTTGACACTGATGCTGAACAAAATGCGAATCTTGTTGTTTATGCTGAGGTGGAGTTCAGAAGATTTCCAAACTGGTGCCAAGTTGATGAAGATGTATTTTGCCTTTCCAATTCTATGAAATCTATGACATCTTCATCTGTTCCGACTCTGGTTGAAAAAATACCTCCAAGACAAATGAAGGAAGTAGCCTCTGTCAACCTCTTTCTACAGTCGATGGTGATTGGTAATGATTGTTGTTGCTGTTGCTGTTGGTTGATTATCGTCATCACTTCCGTCTTCTTCTCCTCTGTGTTCACCCGGAGTCCTCTCTTTTCTGCCGGTCTCTTCAACCAGTTTGTTGGTGTTTGTCTGCAAGTCTTCGAATTTGTGTGACATTAAACATAAATCATCGACGTGCGAATTCCAGATCTTCTAGAGTCTTTTTATCTGTCACTCCAGAGTATTCCTGTCTTCTCCTCTCTCTCTCCACTCACAGTCTGACGAATTAAGAATGTTATTGGTGATATTAGGCAGTCTGTTTTATCTTACTTCTGTATTCACTTCAAAAGCTTCTCTGAGTTTTCCGTTGTGGATCACCTGACACGTAGCATTGTCATATAGCCAGCTGTTGAATGAGTTTGATAACGATTTGCGCATTGCACTCCATAGTGTTGAAGTAGTTTCCAAATTACTTCTCGGTCAACGCTGTCTGTCGAAGGCCTTTTCAAAGTCGATGAAATTGAGGTAGAGATTTGACTGGCATTCTATGCTTAGTTCGATGACGACGATGCGTAGAGTTGCAATGTGATCAGCCTTCTAGTTATATAACCAACGAATAGCACTACTCTTTATTCAGTGATTACGTAATAATGATGTATATTATATATTGATTCATGACAGCTAAACTTCAAATAGAAAAGTTGTTTATCGTTGACATCGATTTCAAATTATCTTTCACTCAGTATGTTTAATTTCCTACAACTTGTTGTATTTATTTTCATTAACAACAGAATTGACTAAAGGTGTTCATTGCAGCTAAATTTAAACTAACTTACTTCGATCTGTGCCTCAGTCAGTAAAGGTCATAGGTCTCCCAACTTCACATCTATTTCATTCATTCAGAGACTTGGCGCGTCATACAGAGCATCTCAAACATACTACAGACCTTCATTAACAGTTGTCTTTGCTCAATACTCAAGATCAGATGGCCAGAAAAGATCAGTAACATGGATCTCTGGAGCGAACCAACACAGCAGGAACCGATTGTGAAACAAATAGGCAGGAAGAAATGGAGATGGATTGGCTGGCCATACTCTGAGGAAACCATCAAGTGAGTGACATCACTAGACAAGCCATCGCTCGAGTGGAACCCAACAGAATGGGAAGCGGCGAGTTGGTCGTCAGTGCAAGGGTGACTTGGAGGAGGTCATGTGAGAGAAAACGTGTGGACAGACTTGGAGTCAGGTGAAGACTCTAGCAGAGAACCGAACGCAATGGAGACGCACGGCTGAAGCCCTATGTTCCTCTAGGAATTAAAGGAAACAATAATAATAATCATTCAATGTTGTGACTGTACCACTAGCCAACCTTAAGGCTATGAGTTCACTCTCTGGTGAGGGCTTGTGTACGCACTTGTAGAAGTGTCCTAAACTATGAATAAACAACTGCCTAATGCTCCCTGGTATTCCGTAGTTCTTTTCACTGATATCAGTTCATGATGAATTTGAACTTGAGATGAAATTTCCCCTAGGTAAAAAGGCCTACCGTTTAAAATTGATCTGATAGTTCAGATTGATTATTTTATAAGCCACAATGAAATAATTCATTAAGCTTCATATCTTCTTATATGATGAAAGTTATTATTAATCTATTATTTTATTCAATAATACACTTCTTTACCTGTTCAAATACAAATTATGTTTTAAGTTATATTAGTAAAGGCTTGAAGGTGGATACTCGCATTAAAAAGACTGTTTCCCTTACCAAATATAGCAGTCACTGTCGTGTATGATTGTATGACTTATCCTGAATTTTGTTGTATACCTGGTATTAAGTCTGGGTAGAATAAATCACACATCTTTTAACTCTAACTTCACATGATTTATGCGTTAAACTGTATACTATACTACTAAATGATTCAGATGAATAGTTGCATACCACCCATATCAACTATTAGTGCTTGCTAGTTAGTCAGATCGAAGGGATCTGAACATCGAATGGCTATTTGTCTTGTTTAGCGCTGAGCTCACCAGCGGTGTATCACGTTTAACTCAGCTCAGAGACACTCCTTCGAGCTTCATCGGTCTTTTCTTCTATACAGAACGGATGAAGATATCAAAATGAGCCAGAATCAGGAAGGCGAGGTACGCCTACATCAACCTGAAACCAGTTTGGGAATCTTCTACACTGACTTGGCCAGTATAAAGGACAAGATTCGGATTTTTAACATCAATGTTAAGTCAATCACTTCTTCTATATGGGTCAGAAGCTTGCATTGTGCGTCATGAAAAGGATTTCCAACAGGTTACAGACTTTTGCCAACAACTGCCTCCTTCGCTGGCTGGATCCATATTGAAGATGAAATTGCCGGCCAGTAAGAATTAGCGACAATAAACTCTGCAGTGGAACAAACCAACCAAGAACCCATCGTTCAACAAATATGTAGAAGTAAATGGAGGTGGGTTGGGTATACGTTGGGAGACCGTTGGGTGAAATCACGCACCAAGCCATCTCTCGAGTGGAATCCGAATAGGAAGTGATGAGTGGGTCGTCGTTTCGAGGGTGACGTGGAGGAGATGAGAGACAACGGTCAATCTTGGGACCAGCTGAAGAGGATAGCGGAAAATAGGACTAATGTGGAGATATGTTGTTGAAGCTATATTTTCCACTTGGAACCCAAAAGAAGAAGAATATTATTATTATTATACCATTTTAAACTGTAATGTGTCATTCACTAATTTTGACTGTTTTCTTCCAATAACTCCAGCATACTTAGCTGTATTGTGTTATTAGATGGTGGAGGCAACTGGTTGGTTCAGGGTTTCCTGCCGACTACCCCCAACCATCTAATATAAATTCAGAGTGCATCGCGATGGCAAGTTACCTAGTTTCGTGATCATATTGGAAACTTTGACTAATGGAATTCAGTCTTCACTGATATGGATGACTAGACGAACGACACTGGTTGCACCCTAGTGACCAATGTCTGTATACTTTGTTGTATATTTGCTGTTCAATTACAAGTGATAAATGCTTACTGTTACTGAAGAATAATTTTACTACTCCTATGTTTATATATAATTTCTTGGTAATTATATCACTCCCGGATGTTTATTATTATTATTATTGTTCCCTTGGGTTCCTAGTGGAACATAGGGCTTCAACTACACATCTCCACTTGCTTCTGTCTTCTGCCGTACTTTTCACTTGCATCCATGTTAGTCCATACTGTTTCAACTCCTCTTCACACGATCTCCTCCATGTCACCCTTGCGCCGACGAACCACTCGCCGCTTCCCTTTCGGGTTCCACTCGAGCAATGGCCTGACGCGCGATGTCACCCAACGGCCTCCTCAGCGAGCGAGTGTCCAATCCATCTCCACTTTCTCCTGCATATTTGTTGGGCGATTGGTTCTTGTTTTGTTTGTTCCCATAGTTTCTTGTTGGTGATTCTTTCCGGCCATCTGATCTTCAGTATAGAGCGAAGACAGCTGTTGATAAAGGTCTGCAACAGGCTGTTGGAAATATTCTTTGTGACCTGCCAAGTTTCTGATCCGTATAGAAGAACTGACTGACTTGACGTTTGTATTGAAAATCCGAATTTTGTTGTTGATGCTGGTTGAGTGACGAAGATTTCCAGATTGGTTTCAGGTTGATGAATGTGTTTCTCGCCTTCCCGATTCTCGATTTGACATGTTCGTCCGTTCCTCCTGTAGTTGAGACACTCCCGGGTATTGGAACATTCAATTTCTTGAAAATGATGCCTACATTCATGTTGCAACTTCTATCAATTGAAACTAAAACTTGTCAAACTGCCAAGACATTTCAATTCTAAACTGCTTATCCCTCTATGTATATTCTTTTAAACATTGTTTTATTAAAGTGAAAAACACCGCTTCACTGTTAGTTTCTATCTTCATTTTTTTTCCTTTTTAAAGGTATTTTCAAGATTAAGAAAATCAATTGATGGTGTACCTGTACGAACTGCTCCTGTCGACTTACCTATAGAACATCCATCTTCATATCCTCCATTATCAAATGAAATGATACTGGAACCAGTACCTGATCGTTTAACAGATTCAAAGTCTATCGATCGAAAAATGACTACAATTGTAAGTGTCATAACATACTTGAGCTACAAAACTTTTAGGAATATTTTTTATAGTTCTTAATCTACTGGTTTGTTAGATTGTTAGGAAGACGTACTAACTATTAATAGTGACGGTGATGATACACTGTCCACCATTAGCGTTCTAAAATTCTTTGTAGGTTCTTTCAGCTAGCTAGTTAGTTGGGATGCGACCCGGTAGGAACTGATGGTCGAGAGAGCCAGACATAATCACTAACTGAATAAGTGGCCCGATCATAAATACTCTTCTGGTGCTTGCTAGAACACTGTAGGTGAATGCCCACCAGGCGATAGGCAACCTCAAGTCGGTTTCGAAGATCTTGAAAGTGAGAAATACAGTCACTTCCTTTGAAGGGTAACATCAGTGTCTGGATTTTGATTGAATGGCGGAGTTCGTGGTTGAACCGGAGCAGAGCAAGGGAAAACCCCGTCGAAGATTGTACTGAGGAGCGATCAGCGAGCAAACATTCACGTAGGACGTCGTCCCATATGTTTTCCTGTGTGTGAAGAAGAAAGTCACGAAATATGCTCTTTATTGTTCTGTTTGTCTATCCCACCAAACCGTTTTCTTGGGGATGGTGTGATGTAGTGCGAGTCTTCCGAATGCCGAAGGTGTTACAGATGTGGGAAATGAGGTGACTCTCAAAAGCAGCGCCTTGATCTGAGTGTAAATAGAGTGGGGCACCAAAACGAGACACCCATGTGTCAATGAATGCACGACCGATTGTCATTGCATCTTGCTGTTGCAATGGTACAGTTTCGCACCACGTGGTGAAGTAATCCACCATGACCAGGGTGTATCGGTTGCCTCGTCTCGAAGCTGTAAGTGGTTCCAAGATATCTATATACATCCGGTGATTAGGGGCTTCGGTTAGCATGGGCACTAGGGGTTAGCATGGTATTTGAGGAGGCTGCTTGATTTGGGCACATGTGACGCAATTGAGGAAGAACTCAGTGACGTTGTGATGAAGTACTTGCCAGCAAAATCGCTGACGGACAGCGTTTCCAGTTTTTCGTTGAGAAGCATGATCCAGTTGATTGTGTACAAGGTGAATCACCTCTTGAACCTTTACACGTGGAACTAGAAGATGTGGCGATGAAGACGGCTCCACTACAAATAATACATCATCTATCAGTCGTAGCACACCCCATTTAGTAAAGATACACCGTGTTGGATAAATCCCGTAGTCCTCTGGTCGATGGTTTATCATTTCCATGAAGTTGGCGGGTTCCAAGCCTCACACCCGACCTTCCCCTTTTACCGGGCTAAATAAGATTTGGGAGTGTGTCGGCCGGAGATTGAATACCGGACCAGGTTCGCGGTTGGCGAGCATTCTATCACTCAACAACCGACGCGCGTATAGGCAGCTTGGTTGTTTAGTTATATCAGTTTCCAAGTCTCTTAACTTGTAACTCCATTTACCACTTCATATTTACATTCAGAGTAAAATATCTTTAAAAAACAGCGATTTTCAAAGCACCTCAGTCACTTTCACTAATCCAACAGCATCTCATGCAATATTTTCTAAAGTGAAATACTTCTTTGGTACAGAATAGCCATCTCTCCATCGTTTGTTTCTTATCCTCTTTTAACTCACATATCACCAAATAATTTATTGATTATCGGTTAGAGAACCATTGAAAAATCTGGGAGTACTGGACAGCTGTTTCGTCCTAGTTTGGGACTCTTCGGTAGGGCGCACCCGCCACCATTGTTCGAACCCAGGACCTTCCGGTTACAAGGCCAGCTTGTAAACCATTAAGCCACTGGGACTCGATCCATTGGCTAGCCCATGATTTGCAACTTCTGCCAATTGACAATACACCGTGACCACTAGCCAATGTCATCCGTGGCGGGTATTTGTCCTCACACCCGACCTGCTTTGTATTTTTCCATTTGTGTTTATCCTTTAGTATTAATAATGCATAAAATCCACTCTTTAGTTTTCAAATCTAAATTATTCAAATTTAATTCTCTTTTTAGAGTTGTTATAATGGTCGACTACGATGTGTTCCAATTGTTTGTGATTTAGGCAAATTATCGTATAAAGCTGGACCAATAACGCTGGAATTTATTGCTAGACTCTGGGATAATACATTTCGTGAAGTTAGTGTGTTTTTTGTCTTTTACTTCTAAATTTTCATTCTGTTTATCGCATGCACTTAAAATTTTGTTGGCATTTTCTTTTGTATTTCTTGGACTGAACTATTTTCTTAAAACTATATACTACTAAGTGATTCATTTGAGTAGTTGTATATAACCCACTTCAACCATTAGTGCTGTAACAACAGAAGACAAGGGCCAGGAAACAGATCGTTTATTAAGGAAAATCAACACATATTTATAGATTTTAATGTACATTATTGTAGATTATTGTTAATAGAAAATACAGTCTTTTGATTGGTTGTTTCTCACAGAAATTTAACCTTGCATCTCTTTGTGGCTGTGTCGGATCATCCATATGCTAACTATATCCGCCTACGCAAAGCCTTTGTTCTCATTTTCTCACCATCAATATTGGGGACATAAACATTGACGTCAATTACTGTCAACCAACTTTGGCTAGCAGCCAGCTCTCACCACAGTGCTTGCTAGTCAATCAGATCGGAGTGATCTACACACCGAACGACCGCTTCGGCTGTTTGGGTTTGGGGTCATCAGCGGTGCTGTGCCCCCGTTTGACTAAGCTCAGAGACCAGAATCAATTCAAACCACCCGATTTCTGAGTAGCTACTTGGGCACACTGGTAATTTCATAAATAGTTCGAGGGGTGGAATTTCACCACAGTTTCTTCTGGAAACCTGAATTACTCAGATCGCAATATGTGATCTGCTTGATACCATAAATGTGGTAATCAGGAAAGCAAGCGCATATTTGCGTAAAACTGCATTCTACTGATTGCAAATTAATTTGCGAATTGCGAATCTAATTTATGAGGTATTTAATTTTAATTTTTCTAAATACTGCCATGATAGAATTCATTAGCCGTAGGTTACAAAACTTCCAGTTTACAAAGTGCAGAATAATTCCATATTAGTTTGTTTATTAGATGTATCACAATAGTGAAACAGTATTATTTACTTGATGACGTTTCGAACAAAATTTATACTGTTCATAATAATTTCATCAATTATAATCGCATGACTTCGAAACTTGAGTTTTATAGTTTTCTTTGTTCTCTCTTATTTGTCGTCGTTGGGGTAGTAGAGTTTTTCAGATATCTGGGACAGGTGTTGAATCATTACTATTACACATGTTTGCAGTTGGTTCGATAAACAAGTTCCCGTTATCAATCTCTCCTTCCACCCTGTTACATTGAATTTTAAAACTGTCACCTTATCCCATCCAATTGTATGGTTTTGTGTAGTTGCATGTAGTGAGTGGTATAGCTTATCTATTCTTCAGATTTCTTATCTTAGTGTCGAGTCAACCAATCTAGATTTTACTGGGTTTTTGTGCTCGGTTAGTCTGATTGCACCTGTTCTACTACTTTGACCTATGTATTTGACCTGAAAACCATTGCAGGCAGGGTATTAGATAAACTAAATTGTTTTGTTTTAAAGGCTTCAGAGGCAGGATCCTTTAACCGACAAAGCTTGTTTCTAATTGAGTTTGTGGCTTTGAGTGCCACTTAAATTACTGCCTTGTTAAGAATTCTACGTAAGGTGATATCCAAGGTTCCTTCTTTGTATGGAATTACTGCTGATGATTTAGATTCCTTATTGTTGGTGTTGTTATTATCTTGCGCATGTTTGACATGCATGTCGTCATTAATATTACTATTATTATTATCACTATTACTACTATCATTATTTATTTTATTTCTACATTTCCCTACATACTTTCCGACTAATTTATCAGGGTGATTATTAGGTTTCAAGGCTTTTCTTATATGTATCACTTCCTGTCTTAGATTTTCCTTGGTACTACTTAGTTTTGCGCTCTATTACTTAAACATTTCACCAAGCCTATTTTCACTGACATAGGATGGGATGATCGGAAGTCCAAATATCTGTTTGAATTCGGTGTTTAACTTCCCATGGGAACAAACAAAACAGGAACCAATCGCTCAACAAATATGCAGGAGAAAGTGGAGATGGATTGCACACTCACTGAGGAGGCCGCTGGGTGACATTGCGCGTCAGGCCAATGCTCGAGTGGAACCCGAAAGGGAAGCGGCGAGTGGTTCGTCGGTGCAAGGGTGACATGGAGGAGATCGTGTGAAGAGGAACTGAAACAGTATGGATTAACATGGATGCAAGTGAAAAGTACAGCAGAATAGGGAAGCAAGTGGAGACGTGTAGTTGAAGCCCTATGTTCCACTAGGAACCCAAGGGAACAATAATAATAATAATACATGATTATAAACAATAAATTTTGCGCGAAACGTCATCCAGTAAACAATACTGTTTCATTGTGTGATATATCTAATAAACAAATTAATATGGAATTACTTACTACCACAGTGCCCAAGTTTTACACATATTAAAATGCAGAATATTCTTACAGTAAATTAAGTTACCCAATGAGTTCTAAACTCTCTTGCATTTTAATGAGTTACAATGCCTCATAAGTTCTAATATTACTTTGTACTACTACTTAATATTAAGGCATAATCTATGATAGTACCAAGATATCTATGCAAAGTATTAACATGTCAGCCTGAATTAATCAACTCAGTTATTTGAATCTCGTAAACAGTACTCTACTAAATAAAGGTGAACATTGAACAGTCATATTTTTGTTTTACTGGGCATAAAACACAAGATTTAAGTTTATTTGAATTCTACCTCACACAATAAGTTTTCGTGTCAAATTTCTGTAAACTGGTGAACACTCACCAATAGTTTGCGTGATTAATGATGTAAATGAGCACTGTTCACTTATCTATCAGTTCATCATTACACTGGAGGCTCAGCCAAGACTTCTTATATCAATACCATTAGAAGTAAATATGAAGGGGGCGGGGAGTCTAGTTTTAACTTTTATTTCAATTACTTCAGAATTTTAGAGAATGATTGAAACTATAAAACTAGTGTGGTTGAGGGCAGGGCTCTCGCCAGTGACGACGCTAAGGTTACCAGTCTAATATTTTGCCAACTGATTTTCAAACGCAAGTTACCAACCAGGATTTTACTATTATTTTATTACTTTACGTTCAACACCAACGTGAAATCGGTTCTTCTTTATCGTTCAGAATCTTGGCGTGTCACACAAAGTATTTACAACAGGTTGCAGGCTTTCATCAACAGCTGCCCTTTCTCTGACTTCATACTGAAGATCAAATGGCCCAGAAAGAATTAGCAACAAGAAACTATGGGAACAAACCAACCAAGAGCCAATCGCTCAACAAATATGTAGGAGAAAGTGGAGATGGATCGGACATACATTCAGGAGGCCGCTGAATGACGTAGCACGCCAGGCCTTTGAGTAGAATCCAAATGGCAAGCGACGAGTGGGTCGTCAATGCGACGGTGACACAGAGGAGATCGTGTGAGGAAGAGATGAGAAAGTTTGGTCAATCGTGGACCCAGCTGAAGGGGACGGCAGAAAACACAACAAAGTGTAGAAGTGTTGTTGAGGCCCTATATTCTATTGGGAACGCAAGGGAATGATAATAATAAATACTTTACGTTCCTAGTAGAACATGGGGCTTCAAGCTTTATCTTTGAAGTTTCAGTAGCAGTGGTGTCACTTTTGTGGAGTGAAGTTTCTAACCTCACGTCCAGTCTTCTTTCTTTATCGGATTTAGTGAGCTGTAGGAGCACGTCGGCCAGGATTTGAACCCCGTAACACCTGAGGAACATTAATTCGTAATTTGGTATCGCAACGTGGTGAAATTTTGCATACCTTATCTTCATTTCACCATTTGCAAAATTTATCGTGTTGTGCATGCTACTTCTGGCCCTCCTTTGTGTTTCTTTGTATTCCTTTCACGTCTCCCATGTATGTTCGCAACTCTGTATCACTTGCTTTCTCTAACATTAAATCTATCTCCCTGCTATTTGATGTTATTTTAATGCCAATGAACGTCTCTCTCTATATACTACTGATGTATGTTGTCAGTAGCTCACGCTACATTGGTTCATTAAAACAAAAGGAATATAGAGTAGTTTTTCTCTCTTTCGCCACATTTTCTAATGTATTTTCAACACAAGCCTGCCTGGTATACAGACTTTACAAATCGGTAACAACTTGAATAAATTTTTAAAGTTTTAAAAACAGTCAGATTGTGAACTGTGAATATATTGATATAGATTCTTTTCCTACTATCACCTGTGGTAAAAACAAACGTGCTGGTGAATTGTACTACAAAGTGTAGTTTTTACAACCCAACTTTTATTATCTACTGATATCACAACTTGGGTGGTTGAATTATTCAATAGTCATAAAATATTGGACATTGAACTATTTTTGTCATAATTGAATTCCTTACAAGATCAGTAACCAGTGAGGAGGTATTTTCATGATGCATGATACACCAGGTGTAATAACAGAAATTCTAGCTGCATCAAAAACAAAAGTTGGGAAAACTCCTTTAAAACAGTTGAATGTAACATCTGGTGTGATAACAGCATTTCTCTCTAGACCCGTAATACAAAATCAACTACTTTGAGGAAATTCAAGTCGTAATTGACCACCGCCTCTATTCTACCTATACAAGTATACTGAAACGAAAGCTCGCGGCAAGTTTGATTTGCCCTCAATGATTTAGAACAAAATTAAGTCTAATTCAAAATCATTGATTTATTTCAACAGCTTTGAGAAAATATTTATCTGGCCAAAATGCATATCAATAATAATAATAATTTGCTTTATTCCAAAACAGTACTTGTGATACAGAATGGAATTCTCAGCATTTTTTACTACAGTATTGCATCCAGTTAGTACATTATCAATAAATAGAATTCTACATAGATTAAGGAAATCTCAGTTCATTATTACAACAACACATTGACATGTCGGTAGCAAAGCCAACGCTGAACAGTGTTTGAAGGTGTTAGAGAAGTAGGTGCAGTCATATTTACTGGTGTAAGCGGAAGAAAGAAACAAAGCAGCAAATAACAGAGAGAAAAAGAGAAAGAGAGAAAAAGAAAAGAGAGAAAGAAAACGTTGTACTATAAATAATATGAGTTGGAAAGACGAGGTCCAGTTGTACTACTGACTATTTAATGAATTATAGGTGTTACGCCTAATGCTTTCTTTATCGCACAGAACACGAGCTAAGTAGGGTATGGTTGAGTTTTTGTACTTGATGGTGCAAGCATATAGTTTTCTATGTAGGCTTCTGGTTTTGCCTGATGAGATGCAAGGGGAGAGTTGTGAGTGAAGAGGGTGGTGTGACATTATCTAAAAATGACCAGAATGAATCTGGTTACATCTATCACGGATGGTTGTCATTGATAAGCCAACTGATAAGCATTGCCTTCTTACTTTAAATATCATTTATTTTAACTTATTTCGTTTCAATTGAGATCTAATTCATTTAAAAGTATGATTAGCAGTACATGACCGTGCAGTTAAAATTCACTAAGCAACTCAGTAATTACACTTCAAGTTTGGCCATGAACTACCGTCGGTTACAGAACGATTGAAAACCATGGAATACACTGGACAACTGCTTAACTCTAGTTTGAGACTGTTCAGCAGCACTCATCTTTGACCCCACCGGGGTTGGACTCGGAACCCTCAGTTTACAAGGCAAGCTAGTTGATCATCCAACCACTGCCGATGACATCGGCAGACGGTGGCGCTACATATCTCAAATTAGCAGGTGTTGTCACTCATGGACTGACTGTTGGTTTCCGTCCCAGCTGTCCTCATTATCTGAACGTCCTGGATCCGATCCTTGGCGCGCGAGTCCTAAATTAGGACGAAATAGTTGTTGTTCAGTACTCTCTGGTTTTCAGTGATTCCCTAACTGAATTCAATTCGTGATTAAACTTCAAACAAACACTTGAAAACTTAACATCTTAGTTTTTGTTCCAAGAGTATTTTACTATGTTAATTTTTTGGTGATACACCTCAGTTATCTAAGTACAACTAGAAAGAACAGGATTTGAAGCATTTGATTCACACCCCTCCATGTTAAGTGAAATAATAATTGAAAAAAGAAACAGAAGTCAGTCTGTAACAACAGAAGACAAGGGTCAGGCAACAGATCGTTTATTAAGGAAAATCAACACATATTTATAGATTTTAATGTATATTATTGTAGATTATTGTTAGTAGAAAGTACAGTCGTTTGATTGGTTGTTTCTCACAGAAAGTTATCCTTGCATCTCTTTGTGGCTGTGCCAGATCATCATGCTGAAAATGTCATACTTGTACTGAAAATACGGTGTGGCATCAAGCTGTAATCAAAATAATAAAAAAATAAAAATAAATCCATATGCTAACTGCATCCGCCTACACAAAGCCTTTGTTCTCATTTTCTCACCATCAATATTGGGGACATAAACATTGACGTCAATTACTATCTACCAACTTTGGCTAGCAGCCAGCTCTCACCACAAGTCTTCTAAATCGATGGGTAAAGCCTCAGAAATAAAAAATGAAGCGTATACGTAATGATTTTGGTAGACCATTTTTAGTCTCATAGGTGATTCTAAAAAAGTGGTTGAAATTCATTTATAGAACTTCTTATAGCTCCGATTTAACCTCCTTGTTCCCACACAGGATAGTATTCTTGCACTATTTTGAACAAAACTTGTGTGAAATTCTCTGTAAACTTCTCAGTCCTTAAAAATAAAAGTTCAAATATCATAAAACTTTGTGTAACTTACTGTAAAGTGGGTAATTCTTACCTTCCTTATTTTGTCTCTTTTCTTATTCTTACTCTAGGAATTTCGTAAAGTTTTCTTAACAAAACTTCATATTACTGCAACATGGAGAGCTGATGTAAAGTATGGTATAGATCTTGGTGATTCAGATCACGCTCAAGATACGGTAAGCATTATCTATATATATTCAAGATTATTAGCGTTGGTGGCATAGCGGTTAGGACGCTTGCCGACCATGCACATGGTCCGGGGTTCGATCCCCGGCCGACGCACTCCTTTACCTCGCTAAGCCAGAAATAATGCTGGTAAAGAGGAAAGGTTGGGCATGAGGCTAGTAACCCCATCCTGTAAAATAATAAACACTGCTACAGAAACTTCAAGCCACTAGCTTGAAGCCCTATGTTCCACTGGGAACGTGAAGGATAAAAAAATTCAAGATTATTAGGACAAAGTAAACTATTCTGTTTCAATCGCTTATATATTACTTCTAAAAATGCTCAAGTTCATAAAAAATATCTGAAATCTAAACTGAACTATCACAGAAAGAACTATAAGGGCAACGATGAAGTTGGCTTCACGAAAAATACCCATGCAGACATGAATATAAGAACCAAATAGTTCAACGAAGAGTCTCTTTGTCGGCGGCGAATTCGGTCGCTTAGCTGTACAATCGCATTTATATATAACCATTTTGTGATAGAATTCAGTCTGCAGCGAAGATAGGACTAGACACATTACACTAGTTACTGACTAGTGTGCAATCAAAAATACTTAATACAGTCCTACAGGAGGTCAATCGCGAGCCTGAATAGCTCAGTGGTAATGTCTCTGACTGCAGCACTTGGTGACGCGGGTTCGATTCTCAGAAGGGATATGAGTTCCTTCAAGGTTGCATATACGCCTTGCTGATGAGTGCCAACTAGAACGGAACCTAGGTCCAAGGCTTCCTGCCGATTGCCTCCAACCATCTAATACCAACATTAGTTAAGGTTATTGTTTACGTCAGCAAAATGCTTCTTAAATGTGATGAATAATCAAAACTGATAAGCACTGACAAGGGTTGTCAATGGAAACACGTGTCCAAAACAAATTATGTAATAGGCAGAAAGAGTAAATAAATGGTTAGCTAAGAAGAAGACGTTACCAAGATGTTATACAAAAATTCAAAAAAGAAAAAATAACATTAACATTGTCGGTGCATAGCATTGTATAACTGACACTTTCCTTCCTTTGGAGTTGAATCTGGCGGTCATTATCCTGGGCGAGATCGCCTCCCATTGCATCAGGGTCTTCGTTGCCGTTGGTGACATCATGATAGCCACGCCCTCGGCAATGAGGAAACAGGCATAAAATGGACTCACACAAAAGGACTTGGAGGATCTGGACTTCGCCGATGATATATATCTGATTTCCCACAAACTGGAAGATATGCAAGTGAAAAGCAACAAGTTGGCAGAAGAAGCATCCAGAGAAGATAGGACTTCAGGTGAACGTAGAGAAAACAGAGGTCATGAACATTCCTGGCCAACACCACCAACTGCAACAACAACAACAGACAATAATCAGCATAAATGGGAGGAACCTGAAAGAAACAACCTCCTTTACCTACCTACCTACCTACCTGGGAAGCATCGTTTCAACTACAGGCGGACGGGACTGACGAGTATATCAAAGCAGCAAGAATCGGAAAAGCAAGACAAGCTTTCACTACTCTCAAGTCTGTGTGGAGGTCAACAGCACTCAGCATGAAAAATAAGATCCGGATTTTCAACTCCAATGTGAAGTCAGTCAGTGCTACTATACGGATCAGAGACTTGCACTGCGCGTCATAAAGAGCATCTCAAACAAACTACAGACCTTCATCAACAGATGTCTTCGCTCAATACTCAAGATCAGATGGCCGGTCAGAAAAGATCAGCAACAGAGATCTCTGGCAATGAGCGAACCAACTCAGCAGGAACCGATTGTGAAACAAATAGGCAGGAAGAAATGGAGGTGGATTGGCTGGCCATACTCTGAGGAAATCATCAAGTGACATCACTAGACAAGCCATTGCTCGAGTGGAACCCGACAGAATGGGAAGCGGCGAGTTGGTCGTCAGTGCGAGGGTGAGTGACTTGGAGGAGGTCATGTGAAGAGGAGATGAAAACGTGTGGACAGACTTGGAACCAGGTGAAGACTCTAGCAGAGAACCTAACGCTATGGAGGCGCACGGCTGAAGCCCTATGTTCCTCTAGGAATTAAAGGAAACAATAAAATAATAATAATAGAACTTGGAATTATACTCTAGGTTGAAGGAGGGGATGGGGAAGTTTCTTCTGTGTACATATATTATAGTTTTCCATCCGGATCGCTAAGGCCTAGACAATGCAAACTATACGAAACCTTACCGTTTTCGGGAGGCTTCTTTTTTCATTTTGTAGATGACTTTGAATGGATTCTCCTTACCTATTGAGTGACCAGTGTTGAATATATGTGTTCAATTATAGCACTCCATATTGATCCACTGTTACCTTTTTGTGGCCAAGCGAGATAATGATTTGTAGATACACATAGAAGTGGTTACATGTGATAGTTTACCTTTAGAGCTTAGGGGAGGATGCTGACAAAATGCAGAGTCTTCTGAACACTTTGAGCAGCAATCTTCGTATGTTTGGCAAGCGATTCGCCCCCTTTAAAATGTAAGATGCTGCTACAGGACTGGACTACGTCAACTCCTAGCTTAGTGATAGGGAGTGAAGTGATAGAACATGTTGACCAATTCACGGACTGATTGGCGACGAAATCTGAGCACGAGCTGCTTTCGCTAACTAATGCCATCTCTGGCGTAGGCGTAACATCCGGCTATCAACCAAGGGACGTGTGCACTGCTCAGCAGTTCGCTCCGTCCTTCTCTATGGCTCTGAAACATGGCCAATACGAGTTGAAGACATGAAAAGGTTGACTGTTTTTGATCATAGATGTCTACGATCTCTTTCTCACGTTAGGTGGAATAATAAGGTAAGTAATGTTGACGTTAGGCGTAGAGTGTTGGGCAAAGAGGGAAAATCAATCGAAGAGGCTATAAAGTTACATAAATTGAGATGGCTAGGTCACGTGCTGCGCATGCCTAGCCATCGCCTCCCTCCACGGACGGGCATTACTAGCTGATATAGGTGCAGGTTGGAAAAGAGTAAGTGGTGGCCAAACAAAAACATGGCATCAATCAATCCATGAAATCCTTGACAGTTAAACTGAGTCAGGTAGGGAGGGAGATGCAGACTTCCAGGTTGGGGCCTCACCCTCGGGACTCTAAGAATCAATGGCTGGAGATGGACAATAGGTGACATGGCTCAAAATCGTTGTCAATGGCTTACGCAGATGTATTCAGTCTCTGTAATCTTTCATATTCCTTTCTACCATTACTCATTCTGTTTCACTCTTATACTTGTCAAAACTCTATTGATTCTCTTCACTCATTTTCTTGTCTATCTTTGTGTGGTATTTGGAACGTGGCAACTCGAACTGCTGCACTTTGGTGCCAATATCTATGCTGAATCCAGACAGACAGAGACAGACCTGTAGAGCTGGCTTCCACTCACGAGTTATTCACTTCATATTGTCATACTTAGAAGAAAATTATTAAAAAAGACATTTGACAATCTAACAGTGCTAAAAATTCGAAGATCATTACTGTGTTTACTGCTTTGTGAATCCATAATTGTAACTTGAATAAGTTCTATATTAATTTCTAAAATGAGACGTTAAAACAACTGAATCTTTCCTTGATATTATAAAAAAAAATCTTTTTGATAACGTTTAATAAACGCAAAAGCCATCCAGATTCATTGAATTCATGCCATTTAAGTGCAAATACCAATACTACTTATGATACGAAATCACCAAACTCACTTATCATATTGATAGTTTTATGAAAGCAATGACATCTTCACTCCGCCAATTATTGATTATCTTCACTTTGATATATATCATCATGCTTCTTAGATGTACGACTTTCACATGGAAACTCACCAATCTATCAGTCCTCTTTATCACTTTCTTAAAACGTGAACAACTATAAACTGTCAAAATAACAAACTTTGTAAAACAATATTGTAATAGTGCAAGCTCATAAAAAAGATGCGCCATAGAAAATCCTATAGCTTGTGCGAGGGTTGAAATACTGCCCCATACTCTGAGACCTAAGCAGGGAGTTGTCTTAGGTGGACACACCCGGAGCCCTTCACTTGAATTTTGATCCCCAAGGCAGTAGAGCATCGTCAGGAGCTGCATCCCCATAACTTCCGGTGACCACAAGAAGTTGTTCGCATGCCATTCGATTCTTTCGGATACTAAAGCCCATCTACACCATAATTTTGGAATGAGGGTTTTTCAGCTCTGCTATGTAGACGACTTGCATGTCCAACCGTGTGATCTTTTCCATATGCCCTTTCACTTTTGTACGGAACACCCTTGCTGTGGCGTGAAGACAATGAGCTTTGAACGCTTGGCCAAAGACCAAAGTCTATCCACCAACTTTTGGCAGTATCAGTTCTTTTAGAGGGGAGGGGTGAATGTCAGAACCAATAATTCATTTCTCATATCTAACAGCTCTGTTCACGTGTCTATACCACAGGAATTATGTTCTCATCTTATTCATATGTATTTCTCAAGAAATTTAATAAGAAAATAAAAGACAGATTCAGCGAAGAAAATTTTCTTTATCGACGAAATCATCTTCAGAGGCTGTACAATCGTATTTATACTTACAAAAAATATATAGTGGTCTATTATTGAGTAATAGGGGGTGACATAATTGATATAACTACTCAGAAGTGGCTTTAGAAGTGAAAATTAAAAGTTGAAAATTACGTGGTACTCAACGGCAAAAAGATAGAAATTTGATAAGGTTAAAATTGCTATTGAATGAGAATAAAGGTATTTGAGTGTCAATTACAACGCATCTCTGAGCATTATCCGGTATGGTTAGCAAAGGGACAATGTAAGACAATTATTAGCTCAATTCTCGAGCATTTGGTGAACTCAGGCCACGTAGCTCCACCAGAATCGTCTTTCAAGACCATCTACAAAGTGAAGTCAAATGGTACAAAGGGCATCAGGTTTCGGCTTTTGTGTATGGAGGAGGCGCTGGCAATTCATCAATACAACCCTGAACTCTGTATACAG